CTTTCCCCCCCAACATCTCTTTTCCCCTCTCTTTGTAAGAAGAGTTATTCTGTGCCTTGCTTTATTTAACTGAATGGGTAAATCTTAGCTAATCATTGTATCATATTTTGCAAGAGCTGGGATCCAACTCTGTCTCCCTGATTCTCTTGCCAGAATTTGTCAGATGATGACCTTTAGTAAATACCTCTGAACAATTTCCATACTTTGACCTGGGTTAAGAAGGTGCACAATGTCTAACTTCTTGACGTCTGATCACTTAGCTGGATCTAGGGTCTTCTTTTACACACCAAAGTCACTATGTGAATGTGCTGTTTTGTGTACAGTCTCTGTTTTGCAGCTTCCCTCTCCAGTGCCTCAAAAGGTTATTAAAAAATTATTCAAAACCTCAAAAACTATTACTTTTTTTTTTTTGCAAGTCAGCACAAAATTCATCTCACTCACTTTAGGATTTCACAGTGTAGGCACCTACATCTTAGTTAGTCTGCATCTTTGATTCTCTTTAAGGTCAATGGAGGCACTTTTAAGAAGGAGATCACTGACACGTTAAGAATGCTTTTTAATAGGAAGCTGCAGTCATTGCTGTTCCTTTTGCATGTTTTCTCCTGTCAAAGAAAATCACCTTCTGACTTCAAGTGACATTTGTTTGATTTCTCTTGTGATGCCAATTTCTAAATACATTGTTGATAACTGGTTTACAAAAATGGTCTCCACAGAGATTGTTGCAGAATATGAAAAATGTTTATATAAATATATATATACTGTGTACAATATATCCAATAAAATAACAGCAGCAACATCAGCAAATATAGCTTGAGTTGGAATAAATATTTTTATGGAAAGAAATATGCCAGTAATTTAAGGGTAGCATATAGGTAATTTGTGGTCTTTCCTTCAGTACTCTAGGCTCAACATTAAAAGAAGCCAAATTCCTGTTAGAGTATGGAAATGTACAATTACACCACTCAGATAATCTACCTCTCACTCTCATGACAAGATGGGGCAAGTAAGAAACGAAATATTGTGTTTAAGAGTAGGGTCAGTCCAAGCAAGAGAGCAAAGGTTCTTAATAGTTGTATGGTTACTGCACCACACCATTTGTTCAAAGGAGTTGAATTTCATTATTTAAACTGTTTCAAAGAGGCAAATGGTATTTTGCACATCAGAAATAAATGTACATCAGAGAAGTCCATTTCTTTAGAAGGGATGCAACTATCACTTTCTGCTATTTAGTCCTGCTCTGAGAGGGACAGGATATAACAGCCTCTCTGAGGATGCTGGCTAACAGACAAGCCAAGTAGGGCAATGTGATCTCTTCTGTGGGCAAAGGATTTCAGTCTGCACAGCAAAGCTTTCCAAAAAGTACCCTACAAATTTTAGGGAGCTCTGTAGGAGTTATTTTTGCAGTATGGAGATGATGCATAATACTGCTCATACTAGTAACTGATACACTGCTAACGCAGGGAATACAATGAGATCAGCTACAAAGCTGAAAAAACCCACTCCAAGTGTAAAACGGGGAGAAATTAGATCCTTCTAGAGTGCATATTTGAACTGGACTTTCACTTAGAGACACAGTAAGGTTCAAAGTGAATGACAGAAGAAAAGCTTACATTTTCCCTCTAACAGAGGAGAAAGATCAAATTACCCCAGAAGTGCTCCCAACACACTGGGGAGTTAAACTGTGGCTTTAGTTAACCTTTGCTCAGAAAAGTACTGAGTTTGTTCCATGCACCAATGCAAGTTGTAGTCTGTATGGTGACAGCCAGAGTAAATGACTGCATTTAACACTTGCCACCCACAGTTAGAAAAGTTTTTGGATTAATCAAAATAACATTTTGGTTGCAGATGAACCTGTGAGTACCCCAGCCACTTATTACAGTGTTCCAGACAAGGGACAGTAACAAGAGTGTTTGACTCACACTGTCTCTTCTAGAATATTGAATAACCAGAAAACATCCCTTTCTATGAAAGCCCAGATACACAGACAGACAGACACAGGACATGTATGTGCCACCCACCTTGGTTCCTGTATAGAAGTCATCTTTTGACTTGCTACCCATAAAAGGAAACTCCATGTGCGTATGAGTATCAATGCCACCAGGGATCACCAGCTTGTTGGTTGCGTCCAGCACAACAAGTCCAGTCGTTGGCTCAGGGTTTAGGTTTGGCCCCACTTGCTGCACCACTCCATCTTCCACATACACATCAGCCACCACAGAGAGGTCATCATTCACAACTTTTCCCCCCTTGATCAAAAGTCTCTGCTGAGCCAGGTTTTGTTGTGGCATGGGAGCCTAGAAATCAAGAGCAAGACCTCAGCTCAGAAAGTTGCTCTTGCCCGAGAGTATTTCACTGTCAACCCTTCTCCCAGAGCAGCAGTTATCTCCAAATGACCCTAAACATGCACCACACTGTGCTCTTCAGAGAGCAGAGGAATTGCCCCCTCTGCCTGTGGTAGCTCCACCTCCTGTCTCCGAGGAGCACCAATGCCCAGTGAGTGCAGCGAGCCAGCACACAGGGTTGTGGCAGAGCATTGGCTTTGCACCAGAATGGTTCCAGACTGCCTGGAGCTGTCAGGACCAGGCTTTCAGAAAGCTCCAACTGGGTTTTCATGGCACTTTCTCCAGCCTGTCCCGTACACCTCAGGGAACAAAACATGCTGGGCTGTTCTGAAAATGTGGCCATTCATCAGTCTTTGATGCCCCAAGGTGACCCCAGCTCTCTTTAATGGGGTTTAAGGAAACCAAGGGTGACCTGGGCTCTCCACAGAAGTGGACAGGAGGCACAAGGGTGACCGGAGCTCCCTGCAGCACTGTCTGGGGAGCAGGGCTGTGTTGGTCCACACGTCAGACCCATCTCAGCCGAGCCCCCACCAACCATTACCGGTGGGTCTGCTCTGTGGCCTCCAAACTGAGCTGCTGCCAGAGGACACCAGCCCTCAGGAACTGCTCCTGAGCTGCTTCTCAGGAGCCAGCTTGGGACACACAACCCTCAGGACCCAAGCACTGCCCTTGCGCCCATGACAATACTTGGACAACACACAGACCTGAGGGGAGAAGCCCCTCGGGGATCTCTAGAGGCTGCCTGGCCTCTCCTCACCCTGTCAGCAGGAGGCTCGGGCGGCAGGGGCGGGTAGTCCTTCTCGAAGGACCACGTGAAAATCATTTTCCGGTAGCCATTGCTTTGTGCCATGGGCACTGTC